TTATAACCCAAGTATGACATATGAGCATTGGAAGAACAATAAAATTAGACTTGACACTCGTGTCGTGTTTCCTGTACATGTTCGTGTTGTTTTCGTGTCATATCCAATATCTTAAAGGGTCATGTTGTGGATTTCCCTGTTAAAATGAAAGGGCAATACGACTCAATCCGAACTCGACCTGTTAATATTAACGTATAATATCACCCGACTTGTGACAACCCTTCCCGATGGTATATATTATTTTATCCTCGAGAGTAAGGAAATCACTTAATTGCCCTTGGACGTTGAGATGTGTTGTGTGCAATATGTTTTTGGTTGTGGTCCAATTCCTAATTTTCCTATACTTTTGGAACTACTTAGGACTTAGGTTTTATTTTCTTTTGTTTTTGGTTGGTGACCTACTAGGACCACACACATACACCCAAACCTCTCCGTTGACTATCTCTCTCATTCTCTCGGATTTCATCCGTTGTCTGTACAAGTTGTACGGTCACTCTTCAAACTAGCTTCATCTTACACAGATCAACGTCAAGGAGGTTGCTTTTGTGTTCTTTGTGAGCTCAGGAGCTCATCCATACCCTTAGTTCGACGTGAGAGCTTGTAAAACTCGAAAACCAGAGAGCCCAGTTTTGGGTTACTGTCCATGCAGTCGTGATCGTGGACTTTTCTTCGAGTTTTAAGGTTCTAGGGAGTTTTTGGACGTCTTCACGAAGCTTGGGGAGTAATTTTGAAGTGTTTTGGACGTCGGGAAGCTCGAGTTTATCGAGTTGCAGAGGTTACCGGAGTGTTTGAGGTTTTTCTAGTGCGATCCTGTTGGGTTTCAGCCCTGAAAGTGGTAAGGTTTTGTTCTACTCGTTGTAAGCTTCATTTTGGTACAAATTTCATGGATTTTGGTTAAGAAATGAGAAAGATATGAGTTTTAAATTTTTTCAGAAACCGGCGAAAATTCGAGTTTCAGACGGCGGTGCTGACAGCGGCGATCGGCGAGGCTCGTCGGAGAAGGAGATGAATATTTCGTCAGAGTTGAAGGAATATTCTAACGACGTCAGGTAACGTCGTTAACTTCTGTTAAGGTTTTAATGGAGTATTCCATGGAATATTCCTAATTGCCGTTAATTGTTCCGTTAGGGTTAGCCACGGGTGGGGGCGTGTCTGGTCGTGCCTTGGCCAGCGCGTGGCGGCTCATGGATGGTCGGAAATTTTTTCTAAAAATGTGGGATGTTTGTGGGGTTGAGCAGATCACGTTAGTATATTCAAACACCCCATTTGAGCAATATATGAAAAGTTATTAGCTAGTTTCGTTTATGTGATTTAAGTTAACGTTTATATAGTTGTTTCGCATATAGGTGAGACCTATCCTCAGGATGAGTGCAATCAATGGAGGCTTGGGAGCCACGACCCTTCCACATACCAGTGAGTGGGCTTTTGGTCTTCAGTATATACTTATATACTTGCTATTTTCCCAGAAATGTGTTTAAATGAAATTATGTTTGAAATGCCATGCTTATTGATTTATGCTTAGACTATGAATTTGTATGATATATGCATATGGTGATTTAACGCGGTGGACGCTTAGGTAAGTACCAGGTGAGTTGTAGATTGTTTATGTGAATTGATGATTATGTGAGATGTGTTGAGAGATCATAAACCTGCAACCCGGTGTTAGTGCTCCCGCCCGTGGTTAGGGCACAGTCCTTCACGTGATGTTCACCTCCCGCACCATACGCTCACCTTGGATCCAAGTTAGGTGCACAATCCTGTCATACAGACCACTATAGGTGGTTCCAACTCGTAGGTGACCAGCGATTATTCACATAGTCTTCACGTGATCGTAGCACTTGGGCGTATTTATTTACACCCAGTCCTGTCGTACAGACCACTTTAGGTGGTTTCGACTTGTGTGCATGTATATTTGTTGAGATGTGGATTTGAGCCATACAAGTCACGTTAGGTGACTTCGGCTAGATGGATGAGCTCTAGATTCAGTCGTACAGGTCACGTTAGGTGACTCCTACTGACATATCATTTGCATTGATTTATATCACCTGACTTACATATTTTTATGCTGAGATATTCGACATGGTATATTTGTGAATTTTGCTATTCTGAGCATGGTTGTGGTGTAGATATGTATTCTATTTTCTGGGAAATTATATAGGTTTTATGGCGAGGGGTTACAATCTTTGATAATTGAAATGGTTTTGAAAAACTTTGTTTTTGCCCACTCACACTTTCTATTTTGCGCCCCTCCAGGTTCTAGTTAGGAGTGCTTTTTGGTGGCTTGCCAGGAATCCACGGTAGCTCTGACAGATTATCACCATTGTAGGATTACCTTTGGTGTTGTATAATTAGTATTCGTCCTGCTGGACTGCAATTAGGCTACTTATGCTTTAATTGTGAATTTACACTTATTTCATCTTGCACCTTATCTTATCTAGTGCTCTAGTTAGTTGGGTTTTTATTTATTCGCATTTCTTATATTATTGCTTCCGCACTGTGCACATGGCTACGTCACATTCACGTGACGGCCAACACGCCTTGATTTCGATCAGGGTGTGTCACGACCCATTACTCGTTAAAGAAAATATATTTTAAACCAATAAATAATTAAATGAAAATTAGATTACTATATATAGCACATTATCACATAAATATTACTTCAAAACATAATAAAAACATATTTTTCCTTCAAGTATCACATAAATATTAATTAATGTAGAAGCGTGAAAAATAATATATATATAGGCCCCTTACGCAAAGGGATCCCCATCTTTTAAAAAAAAGGGGGATTAGGTGTGCGGCCCACACCACATCGAACTTTAACGATCCGAACTGTTTATTTCGTAAGTCTCGATTCATAGATCATCCATTCAAAAATTCAATTCAATATGAACCCATTTGCTTATTTAATTATCAAGATAAAATTTCATTGTTTCTTATATAACAAAGTATTCGTTGATTTCTTTGAACTCAATTAGATGTCTTAAACATTTCCGATTTGGCTAATATTTTGCAAGGATGATCTATGAGGTACAATTTGAAAAATAGATGGTTTGGATCGTTAAAGTTCGATCTGGTGTGGACCCTACAACTAATCCCTGTTTTTATAAAAAAATGGGGATCCCTTCCTTTAAAGGTTTTCTATATATATAAACGTTTGTATGACAAGTTTTACAACTTTCATGAAGGGCACAACTTCGAAAATTTTGAAAAACGAAATTCAGTGAGACGAATAAAGTGTAAACGACAACTGATGATTAAATATAAATATGAGGTTTATAGATTATGGTGTCAGATTTCGAAGTTGGCCCCTTCATGAAAGTTGGAAAGCTTGTCATTATGAGTGATTGTATATCTTTTTTACATTTTTCACACCTCTACAATAATCATTATGAACTTTATTAACTTTTAGCTCTAGTAAAACACACTATTCATGAGGGTTTGCAGGGTTTTAAAAATCTAAACGATGATGAAACCATCATCTATGTGTGGTGGATGCAATCAGGAGCGTTTATATTTTCTTCACATTTTCACACTTGTACATTAATTATTATGAAATTTTATTTATTTTGAACTCCCCAAAAATACTATTCACGAGGGTTTGTAGGGTTTTAAACACTCAAACGACGATCTACTCATCTCAAAGCGTAAATGATGCGATCATGAGCGTTTGCATATTTTTTTTCACATTTTTCGCACTTGTAAATTAATTATTATAAGTTTTTTTAATGTGTTTGGTGTTTTTAAATTACTCTAAAATTGAAATTTGTATTTTTGCCTATACTAGTACTATGCTATTTGATTTGAATTTTGGACAACAGGTTAAGTAAAATTTATCCCAATAATGATAATAAGAATCTCTCATAATAACAATAAATAAATAAAACTTAAAATTTTAACTTATATAGAAATAATACAATAGGATAATGCTAGAGAGATCAAACTTTAAAACCAAATTTACAAACCAAATGATGTGTCACCACATGGAAAATAAGTAGTTAATCAATATTTAAGTAGTAATCTAATCATGTCAATAATACATGATTTGCAAACTTAAGTAGTAAGCAGTTATCATGTCAATTGATTTGCAAATTTGGTTTGAAAAATTTAACTTTCCTAGCATTACATATACAATAATACATATTTAATATACAATATATACACCGTGGTGATTGTATTTTATAGTAAGTTTTTTGGTAGTTTAACTTCAAAAGCATCAAATATATATATTTTTTTAACGAGTTGAAAAAGGTTACTCACGGGTGACCTGCGTGTAAACCCGTTAAGGACTTGTTAGTAATGGATTCTTAATGGGTGATTTGACAACGATCTGATTAGTTATCGTGTTGATCCAAAATCCGTTATTTTCGTGTAATGTTAACGGGTCGTGTAGAAAATTACCAGGTCTAAACAAAACCTTATCCGCATATTAGTTTGGATAATGCTAGGGAAACCAACTTTTTAAACTAAATTTGTAAACTAAATAATATATCATTAATATAAATAGACACGTTAATTAATAATTAAATAATAATTCAATTATCATCCATCATATCATTTGATTTATAAATTTAATCAAAAAATTTGATTTCTATAGCATTACGGTTTGGTTTTTCATTCAGGTTGGGTAGGGCCCCACCCCGAACAGAAACATGAGAATAACCTTTGCGGTTTTTGGTGGGGTTGAAATGGTTCGGGACACGTGTGGGCGCGCAAATGCAGTGTCAGAGTAATAGTTAGGAGTGGAAATTTTTTTTTATTGTGATCGGAACACGGGTGGTATATCATGCATTTTTATATATATGGTGAAAAATTGTATTTTCTAAGTTATTAAATTTTTAACATACTATTCCACCATTTGTATAATGACATATAATGTGCCACCTATATTTCGGTCACATTAAAAAATCTTTCCTATGAGTGGGGAGTAATGGGGATTCCAAATGAAGCAAAAACACCCAAAGGTGCAGAAAATACTACTTCCAAACTTGGACGAAACCGCTAGTTTGGATTGTAGTGATAGTGACGCAGTTGGCACCACGATAACCATGCCAGCCTCACCCCCTTTGAAACCTCATCACTGTCGCAGTCACAGTCTCAGTCACAGCTGCTACAAAGCGTACAGAGATAGAGAGAGGCTTTTGGGTTCTCAGGGTCGGAGATAGAGGAGAAAGATGGCTGGGACTACTCCGCTCACCGAACAACTCAACAACTTCGTCCTCTCCTTGCGAGAGCAGGTGAGCCCCCATTATTTGTTTCTTTTCCTCAATTCCTTTTTTGTTTATGGATAACCTTGAATTGTGTTTTTCTTTTTTTAGTTTTTGTATTGAGGATTCTGTGCGTTTAATTGTCAGAAATATATGTGAATAAGAATTGGGTTTTAATTAGTTTAGCATATTTGTCTTTATAGACTTCTTTCAGTACTGTTAGCACAAAAAGAATATAAGTTTCTGATTTGCGTGTCTGTCAAAACGAACATACATGTTTCTGAATTGTCAAAAACAAACATATGTTTCTGATTTGCATGTAATGCTGATGAAATTGAGTGTTCAGAATCCGTTTTGTTAATGATAAAGGAAGGAAATTTACAGGGGAAAACAGTAAAACAAAAAGATGGCGGCCTTGGTTTTGTTAATTTTTTTGTAAGATCATATGGATAAGGGTACGTCTGCTATCTGCTGCTAAGAAATATGATCATTATTTTCCAGGGAAACAAAATGTACTTTGTCTCTGTACCACCAGTTGACCCCAGATTGTTTTTATTTTAATTGAATACTGAAAATGTTTGTTTATGGATATCTACTTCTATTGATGACATTTCAGATGTTTTCTGTTCAGTGTTTAGTTCAGTTGTAAAACTTTATCGTAGGATTAATATTTGGATAGTCTGATTTTTTAGAGATTAATATTTCATTGTTGTTTAACTTTTAACTAACAAAGAATGATCATATAAATTGGAGATGACTAATCACCATGTTTCTGGCAGGGAATATTGGACTATCACTTTGATGAAATGAAAGAGTTAGAAAGCCAAACTCCTTGCTTAGTTATAGAAGCGTTAACCATGTTCCTTCGTGATGCTGATGCAGCCATAGCAGATCTCTTCAGACTTCTGTAATTGTCTTCAATGATTTTAAGTAGTTGGTTTATTTATTTATTATTTATTTTTTATAATATTCTGACCAATTTTGGAGATTTCATTTTTTAGGGGCGCACCTCTTATCAACTACCCTAAGGTGACAGAAATTGCCTACCAGCTCAAAGGAAGTAGTGCAAGGTAGTATCACCTGTCAATTTTTACGTTGCTTCCCATTTACATGCAATTCACTCAATGTATTTTGTGATTTTGCTGCGTCTGTGTGATCTAGAAAGTTTACTTACATCTCATTCCCTGCCATCAGTAGGTTCTAATATCTGATCAATCCCTTGCTGCCTGCAGCACTCTGCATGGCCTGCCTTAATTTGGAGAATCTATCGTAATAACTGTTGAAAGAATTAAAAGCCGATTATTCTAGCATTCTCATTACTTCACCTCACAAATAATTCCATCCTAAGTCTTAGTTTCTTCCCTTAGCTAATCCTTAGTGCCCGCTAAGACTTTTGTACTTTGAACCAAGTTTCAGTTGTTTGAGTCTCTGGATGCTTTTCCAATCTGTGGCTAACCAATGCACAGATTTTAACTAAATGGTTGTCATGGACAAGGATAACTTGTGCATTCAAAGACAGTTCACGTAAGGCTACTTTCTACTTAAGTTTTAATTGCGACATTGGAAAAAGGTGGAGTTTCTTTCACGATATTTACAGATTACTTGAGTTACGAACTTTAATTTCAGTTTTAACCCCTCTGCTTTTTGTGTCTTGCATATCATGAACCCAAATGGCTTTAGCTGTTTCATCATTTACTTTGATAAAAGAGTATTCATCCCATGTGGTGCTTTTGGCATTGCAGTATTGGTGGTTGCCAGATGGCTGATGCCTGTTGTGTGCTTCGAAATGCCAGTGTAGCATTCAATAAAGACGGGTACAAACGCTTATCTTACCATCCCAAACTATTATCTTACAATTTTGAGGAAAACATGCTAATTTACGAGCCCACGGAGTTTTAAATTTTGCTTTCTGTAGAATTGTAGTGAATTCATCTATTAGATAACTCTTTGCCAAAGGTTATGCCAAAAGAAACATAAGCAAGGAATTAAAGGCAGTTTAAGGATCTCTCAATTTTCCTTCGTAAAGATTAATATCTTCATCTCCAATTGATTTATTTATGTTCTAGATAAATAGTGCAACACGACGAGGATATTACAAAATTTAATTGAACAAAAATTTGAACATAGTGTTAAGGATAACCCTACCTATATGAAGCTGCAAAATAATTAAAGTCATGAAGTAAAATAGAAGAAGAAAGGTAAAAAGAAAGAATATCAATGAACAACCTCCAACTTTTTTTTTTTTCTTTTTCTAGTTGATATAGTGCACGCATTTCAGTATGACAAGGAATTTTAGCAGTGTCTTTTTCTCATTTTTTAAAAGAACCAACAAAGGTTCTAGCTATTTCAGATAGACTCTACAACTTACCTTATATAATCCACCATGGTGACTTTCTCATGTAAAATCTTGTAAGGAAAATGTTATGCTTACAGGTGCTTCACAGGCTTTGACATGGTTAGGCGTGAGTATCTTCAACTGCAAGAGAATCTGAATCACATTCTTCAGGTAATACTTATTCTGAATCTTGACTTTCTGAGCTTATTTTTGCAGAAGTGTTTCTTCTTCATCTTGTCGTCTACTGTTCTAATTTATGCAATATAAAGAAATACACGGAGGTATATAGAGGTCATTGCTATGTTGATTAATAATGAAGACATGCCACACTGAAAAAAAAAATTGTGGGACTTTGTACTTTAAGACCTTATGAAGATGCCAGATTTTACAATATTTTATGTGGCGACTGTTCTTCATTTTGAAATGCTCTAGTAAGCTGATTTTTATCCATTTTTCTCTAACAAAACTCCAAAAACTTACTCTACAGATGGAGCATGCAATTAAGGCTATTGAGCCCAGAAGGCGCAGTCAATAGAGAACTCGTTTATTGGGTCTCCAATCTGTTCTCCAGTAGATCACATGTTTTCTTTGTATCAATTGTAGGACAAGTTTACTACGACTTAACGTAGTGTTTTTAGACCGATTTATGACTTTTTTTTTAACTTCTTGTAGTATTTGACTTGTGAAAATGTTACTATGTCAGAGAATCTGACTGATTTTGTCTATTCATTCTTTCAACTTGTTGCGAATTTGACTTTTTTAATTGTTGTGGTTTTTTTTTTTTTTTTTTTTTTCTTCATCAACAAGAAACTGGAATTTGAATAGAACTTAGGACCGCTTCCAATATCGTTCTACTTAGAGCCTACATGACTTTGATAGCTATCAAAATCTCTCACGTCTAGCCAGAGACAACTTGTTTCAGAATTGAGAAGTTCGAGTTGGCAACTAGTAAAGCCTGTTTAAGGATTGAGGAAACGTAACTGAAGGATTATTCCGTTGTGGCACATCTCGTTTCATGGATGAGTGTGTCTCTATTGTTTAATCACAATCATTCGGTGGTTGACACACCTTGTTTTAGGATAGAGGAAGTGTGTCTTTGGCGACTGATGAAAGACGACCTTTTGAAAAAGTTTCGTTCGTGGTGCTTTGTCATGAGGGCACTTTATTAATTTTCTTTGTTGGAAAATTTGGTGTTCATGATTGGTTAATCCCATGTCACTTTTAGAGTTCCTCACGAGCACGGCCAAACCAGTTTTTTTGTGATGGTCAAAATAATGGTCGAGTATATTTGGTCTTTCAATTTGATCCCAGTTCCGCGTACATTCTTATTTCACAACAATGTGGTGGAGATTGAACCTGTCGCTGAAGATCCACATTTGTGAAGTGACTAGCACAACCTTAACTTAAATGTCACAGAACCCAAGGACTAGAGGCTTCTTCCTCAGTTGTGATCGTTTGATTTGAAGGTTCAGATTTTCACAATACACGAACACGTTGTAGATATGTAAATTTTGGTGAATAAATGTTCATCAACAAATTAAATTTTGACCCGCTAAGACTTACATGGCACACACTATGGTCCCACTTTTTTTTAATGAAAGGAGAATAATGGATCAGGCAAATTGAACTACATATAAGGCTTGATCGTTGACTATAATAGTAGACTTACTCTCCAAACTCGCACAAGGTGGATAGAAAGAACTAGGACCCTGGGATTAGTCATCAACTACAAAGTAGGCTACTTCCCGCTCAGAGCAATTAAAAAGGCTAACTCCCCAATAGAATGATCCCTTCGTCACCTCTCTCGTGAAATTTATTAATTAAATAATAAAAAGCGACAATAAAGAATACAAGTGGGGGGCATGAGGCCTAAACTTGCAAAGAGAAGAACAAAGAAACATCAACAAAACGGAAAACAAAAAATTGGACAAAAATCAAGGTCACGAGCATGGGGGGTAGTTGCAAAATCTAGAATAGTGGTCCACCAATAATAGGCACTACTAGCCACACCAAAAGAAGCCAAGACATCAACAACTTGATTACTCTCCTGATAAATCCATCTATAAAATAATACTTGTAAGACCCCAAATTATCACCTCTCCGGTGTGGACATAACATAAGCTCACACCATTAGATGCAACCTAGAATGAACAGAAGGCTAAGCCTACCCCTGGAGGGGACTCATCTGATCAGCTGGTTCTCGATACAACCGAATACGACCAACATACCCTCAGAGTGGGCCAAGCCAATTCAGAGTACGGACTCTGCCAGCTATCCAGGTACTAGGCTGCACATGCTAGCATATAATGTACCTTATGGGCCATGAGACGTGTTAGGCGACACAATCTAGCGCACCACTCCTCCTGCCCACGATGGAGAAAAGACAAGTGTTCTTCTTTGTCGTGGCGTCCGTATGTTAGAATGGTCTCCTAGTTGGACCCTTTATTCCAAGCCACGAAAGAGAATGTCGGGTCACGTGGACCAACTCCGCAAAGGGCCTATAAATATGACTCATAACCCCTCACCACAGGCAAGCCCATAACACCTAAGAAATACACTTTACACCCTTTTTACTACCACGACTAACTTAGGCGCATCAAAGCCTCCACGGCGGGAACTACCCTCTTTGACGCTTGGACTCACCATGTTTCCTTGTCTTTGACCTGTGCAGGTTTCACTTAAAGGTGGGTCAAAATTTGCTCCAACAATACTCATAGACAAACGCGCCAAAAAAAATTATTCTAATCGACCAAGAGAAACCAAGGAACTGAATTAGGATATCTATAAAGATAATGAATAACCAATGTGGAATTAGTATTCAATCCAAATATGCTTCCAATCTTGAACCCAAGCATCACGAACTGTCTCAATGAAAGCTAAAATTTCCACATCCACTAAACTAACAAACTCCATACTTGAAGCGAAAGCACCAAGCACATGCTCATCCAAATTACGAAAAAAATCCCACTGAAATTGTCATATCCATTTGCATAAAAACCACAAGTATTAACCTTAAGCCCACCGAATTGCAACACATGCCAAATCCTCGGAATGAATGAGAGGGCAGCGACGGAAGCTAGGGAGACACCTAAAGCTGAGTAAATAGGTAGAATAGTTGAGTAAGAACTACTATGAATGAAACACGCAAATGCTGCTTCACAAAACTAAGTTAAAAGTACACACTACCAAAACCTAAAGCTTTCTAAAAGAGCCTGAAAAAACCAACAATAAAAGTTTTAGAAAAAAACCTTGTAAGAGACTCCACCATGTTTGGAGGTCTTCAGAAGAGAGCTAATAACTATTGCCATAAAGCTACTGTCCAAGGAATTCCAAAAAGATATGCGAAATAAACTTTGAAACCGAATTTACATAGAGAACTACGCAAAACTTATAATTCCCATACATTCAAGAATCAAATCTATAAGCAGGGTTTGTCCTGAGTTTTTGGGTGCCTAGTGCGAAAACTCAAAATGTGCCCTTTTTTAATATGGAAACATATGTTTATAAAAATATATTTAACAAGGGCTGGAACCCAATCGAAGTTGGAGGGCTAGGCCCTGAGCGGGGGGGGGGGGGGGGGGGACATAGTACCTAAACCCCGACAATAAAAAATACAATCATATACAACCACTCCTAGCAAAGCTCCTTGAAATTTCAACCTTTAAAAAATTGTCTTTTGGCATTTTTTTAATCAAAATCATCAATTATATCATCATACTCCAAGCCTTTAATCTCATCCTTTTCAATGCATAAGATTGCTAATCTATTTAGCCTATTTTGAGTCATAGTGGTCCGTAAGTAAGATTTTAATAATTTCAATTTTGAAAAACTTCTTTCTGTAGATGCCACGGTCACAGGTACAGTCAACATTACATGATAAGCAATCAAGACATTAGGACACATATCAGTTTCTTTTATAAAGTTTGCTATTTCTATGGATGTCCAAGGGTTATTAGAGAGAAATGCTTCTTCAGGTAATATCAGTTGCAAAACCTGTAATTCGGAACATAAGTCGACTCTATCTACATCCATGATATTTCCATGTTTCAAATGTGCTTCAAGATTTATACAATTTTCTTTTAGCTCTTGATCATCTAATGAAATTAACTTCAGTGCATCAAACAAGAAGCCAAAAATAGATTCAAAAGCCTTTAATTGTTCAAACCTGTGTTTCAGTTAAGAAAGAGCAATATCCATTATAACAAGAAAATAATATGTTCTAAATGATTCTTCAGCAGACTGTTGTTCCCTCTCATTACCATCAACTTCATCATGATGTCTGTTTCTAGGTCTATGACGTTTAGTTTGAAAAACGGGTCAATTTCCAAATCAAGTGCAATTTCTTTAGCATCACACATGGTAGAAGCAAAACCAGTTTCTCTGTAGTTTTCAAAAAAGGTAACAAGTGCTTCCAATGCCTTTATAGCAACATTGAAACGCATGTCTTTAGAAACAATGACTTCAAAGTTAACCCATCAATATGTTCAAGCAAAATATTCTAAAGCTTTGTAGAGTTGGAAAACACTGTATATATGCATTGACATGCTCCAAAAAAAAGATTTTACTTTAAGACATGATCATCATCATCAACAATATTTTCCTCTACACCAATATGATCATCATCAACATTTAAATCTATATTACTAGCATTTTCGTGGTCTTGAGACTCATCACCAACATTTTGATCTAAATCACTACCATTTTCATGGTATTGAGACTCATCACCAACATTTTCTTCTAAATTACCACCATTTTCATGGTCTGAGACTCTTCATTAACATCTTTCTCCACATAACCACCAATTTCATGATTATGAGACTCCCCAACAATATTTTGTGACTCTTCACCAACATCATTTTCTCTCAAATTTTCAACCAATTCATTCTTAGTAGAGAAAAATTTATTAAGAAATCCTCTTAAACTTTTGGCAATTTTATTATCCTTTGCCTTTTTTTTCTTTTCATATTACCAACGAGTTGTTTCCTAAAAGACATGACTTCGATAATTTGTTTGCAAAAATTACCTACACATGATATAACAAAAATTTCCTATCAAAATTATCATTCCAACACATATTATATATTATAAAAACACTAACACATAGTCTAACATATAAAAATTGATAAAATTGAACCTAAAAATTGGGTTTGAAATGAAATGAAATAATTTAATTAATCAAGAATTCTTTTATTTATTTATTTTTTTTGTAATGCCCAAAACCTGGGCCTTTTTTTCCATCTTTTGTCAAATTGGGCCTTGCCCTCTAGGTCATATTATTTATTTACTTATTTTACCTAGTTACTCGGTTTTTTTTTTGGGTGCCCCTTTCATTTTTGGGACCTAGACAGTTGCCTTAGTGGCACTGGGCCTGGGCCAGGCCTATCTATGAAAAGGCGTCCCTGTAACACCTTCCAAACAAGGAGACTTTTGTGAGGCTTAATTCGATGAGACCAAATTATCTTCCCC